AAATTGGCACCAATTGGTGCTCACATTTCTAGGCATCAATTTGCAAGGGCGTGCTATGGGTGTGCTTCGCCCATCACAGAATGGCCCCACACCCATATCGCCCTTTGCATCTAGTGATATAGAACACTACAAGGACCCAGCCTGATCAACCAGGGCGCTCCCTTCTTTTACTAGTAATAGACAGTGCAACTGAGCCTTAGTTGGCTAGGAAAGCAGTGTTCTAGGCTTCTAGATCGCTCCCTGAAATTGGCGTTCCAGGTCCTCAGGACGTCCTGTAACGCTGTTTCCTAGGGCGTTGTATACTGTTCAACACTACTTTATCATGGTGGCTAGTGTCAAATCAACTACTCTGAAGTATACTACAGCAGCCCCCAATAGCTAGACACATCGATCTTTGTCAATAGCTCGCATAACGCTGGTGGCCTGGACGTTCCGGCTGTAATGGGTCGATTTTGTCTTTGGCGATGAAGGGCTCAGCTTGCCACAGTAAAACCCCATCATTCTAGACAAAATTGTGGCCAGGAAATCCAAATCGATTTGAATGGATTTGAATTATTGCGCGAAAAAGGCAAGCACATAAACACCAAACGTCCAGTGCTCCTCTCTTAAGCCATGCAGGATTCGGCTGATTCGAAAGAACAAACAAAGGAGCAATCGTGTCAGCGCACTTTTCAGCAGTCAGCAGTAACAAAAAACCACCATGACCATGACCATCTTCAGTTGCCGGTACCGAGGACGATGGCGTCTTTCCAAGCATCTCGTTTTTGGTCTTACAAGGTTGTCGATGGTCACCGGCTACTGGAGGCTACATGGCGCTACAGGTGGATAGGACGGGATTGCTTTTCATGGAGTTGCGACTTTGCGACCATTCGATGTTGTCATAAAATCGATCTTCCACAACAACCAACCACCAGCCATGCAGATCTCAGCGGATACCATTATCAGAACAGCTTCCATCTACCAAGGGCTCACAGCAAGAGCAGTCAACCACGAAACGTACAGGTACAATCGGACGTTTCGAGGCTGTTTTGGTGTGGCTCCTCATTTTGCCGCAGAACTGTGGAACATGCTGGACGATGAAGATCCTCTCAGGCCTCAGTGACATTCGCTGGGTATCCTACTTTCTGGCTACACTCATGTTCCTCAGGACATACACTGTGACACCTGTGCTGGCAATGATCTTCATGAAGGATGAAAAGACCATTCGCCATTGGGTGTGGGTATTTATCGAAAAGCTGGCTACTCTTGACTTGGTACGTCAAGCTCCATTTATTCATTGCCGACTCCACAAATACAAAGACCTCACCATGTACATGCTACAATCCACCATCACTGCTGCTCCAGATCAGATGGGAGTACCGACGAATGAATGACAATGGCAGTCGGTGTCTGGTAACTGTTGATGGTACTGACTTTCGCATCAGGGAACCAGGTCCTTTCTCAACTGGTTGGTTTACCAAGAAGTTTAATGGTCCTGGACTGAGGTATGAGGTTGCTGTTTGTATTCAGACTGGATGGATTGTGTGGATCAATGGTCCCTTCCCTTGTGGTGAATGGGTTGATATTGCCATTTCTTTGTCCTCTTTGGTTTACATGTTTGAGGGAGATGAGAGAGCTGTTGCTGACAAGGGATACAGAGGCTATCCTCAGTTCTTTGACTGCCCATGGAGACACCTTGACAATCAACAGCAGACTACCAGGAAGTCTCTTGCAAGGGCCAGGCACGAATGTGTCAATAGAAGGCTGAAGGAATGGGGCTGCCTCCTTCAGAGGTGGCGCCATTCCCTTGACAAGCACGGCATGATGTTTCGTGCTGTGGCCAACATTGTGCAGCTCCACATCATGGAGCAGCCAATGTGGCAGGTGGAGTACTATGATAGAGTCAACAATGAGTTTGACTTTGATTATTAAATAGTTTGTAGTTACTCTAGTTGCAGCCTCACTATTAGCCATAGCATTGACAGTCAACAACCAACCAGTCTACTCAGGTGTGTAATGCTTGTAATGCGTTTTCCTGCATCTCCCCGGTACCGTGCACCTCTTTTGAGGACACTCACTCGTCACACCGCTCCAAGCCTTCCCAACATACAAGACATCTAACCATGGTATTGGGCAAGATCGGACTCTGTTGCTGCATCGGCAAGCACTCCATAAAGATCCCCCCAGTGGATACCCGTAACTCTCTTCAAAAACACTCTAGTAAATGTGGTAGAGACTTTCTCCCTATACAAGCGGTAAATATCTAGTAGATATCCAAAACAAAACATGCACGCAACAATAAACTAACAGATCACCCAAGCAACAGATTCAATGGTCAGCTCACACTGCTTGGAGTGATTTGTGGTTCATTTATGCCTGGAAGCACGAAGCAAAGATATGGTGGCTGCGTTCCCGTCGGCCGCTCCGAATGGGAAGTGGCGAGGACAACAATACGGGAAGCAAGATCATGTGAATGAATACCTTGTTTTGATTCGGACCAGGGGAAGAACCATCGCTGCTCTCGATCCTGCGTTTTGGCTGACTTCACCCACCATACCAGACCTCGCTTGACTGCGCCTCACAATAAGATCTGGAAGATGGTGGCCTGACGAGCCCTCTTGCCCAACTTCTCTTGAGCCTCACTTCAGCCACACTTGACCCACCAAGGCCAGTATCTCCATGCTGCCCAGGTACTACGGAACCACAAGGTTTCCTAGCACAGCCGCGTTGCAGTAGCGCCGCTAGCTAGTTAGTCATGCCGATGTACAACTACTAGCTAGCAGAGTCGAGTCAGGTCATGGGTCCTGGTATTCGCAATGCGAGTGGCAAAGCAGCGTTCCGATCACCGCAGTCTTGAACGGCTCTTGTTTCAAAAGCGTTCCATCCAAAAAAGGCTTCCAAAAGGATTTTTCGGTGTCTTCGTAAGTCATCGCTTCCGTTGGGTTTGAATTGATAAAACCGCTGCCAGTTCAAATTACTAAATGAATGCTAAGTAGAAAATGATGAATGTTCCAACTTGGTCCGAGTGGAAATGTCTGAGGGGACCCATCTTCTATGAAAAACATGATTCGAGTCATCGTTTTGCATGACTCGGGTCATCTGAGAACGGCATTGGCATTCATAGGCTCATGTTTCGAAACTTGCGTTCTCAATGTGTACATAAGCCTCACTTTTTCAGGCATCTCACACTTCGAATCCATTTTGCCGCTAATATTCCTCGGGTTTAAGATAACAATATTTGTAGACGTCATCGTTTTGTTTCCATGGCCACTGGGATTGGTACCGGTGGCAGGGTGCACGTGAGACGAGCAAAGTTGCAAGGACTACAGTGCTAATACACTACAACACCGAGCTTTACGTGTCTGGTAATAGAGGGCTTCCTTGGTCTGTTTTTGAGGTTCTCAGGGCTTCCTTGGCCGGGAAATCTGTGGGCTACCTCGTTCAAGTTGCTTTGCTTTACAATGTATTGTTATTCTTTAGCTATCAGCCAGCTATGTAGCTCTCCATAGAAGTATTGCTGATAGTTTGATTTCAGTCTAAAGCCAGATTCAGGTAGTAGAGGACCCCTTGCTCAACAGTCCTATCCCTCCCCGACAGTTACGCGGTGGCGCCATCGAACCCCACTACTAGTAGTATTACGGTTTAGTACAGTAGGATTCTAATCGTACCAGGTAGAAAAGGAAACTGATTGTCAAGAACATGCAGCCCAAGACTGTCACTCGCTAAAGTGCCACCGGCATTTCCTCTCAGTCATCGTCAGCGCCAATTTTCATTGTACAAGGTATCGTTTGTATCAGTTAGACTAACGTAGACACGTAGACTTTAGAAGTGCTTCAATTCGCCAAAGACCTGCAAAGAAAGTCCAATTCCTGGATTATTAGTGCCAACAACCACTCCTGATTCCCGAGTAACTCCAGCAAGTTGAAGACTGGAAGACACCCACGGCTCACACACCGGTCGAAAAAGGAAATCTATCGTAACCTAAACAAAAAATGTCCCGGTGGCGGGAATTGGGCATGGCATTTGTAGGTCAAATGTCTGTGCTGACTTCTGGATAGATTGAGTGCGTGTATGTGCAGGTCTGTACAGGTCTGTGCTGGTATGATGATAGGCAACTAGGGGGAGGTTCCGCGCAGCACCAAGACTGCTGGGTAATAATCAGGTCCTCTCGAAGTAAGTTTCAGTGTCGTCCAAACAAATGTATATCTTATAGCTGAGGCTCAATACCGCCAGGTTCAACAACATGGGACACCAATTGGTACTGCCACTACTCCACGATCAGACGCCCATACAAGCCCTATTAGAGCGAAAGAAGATGCTCGGTTATCTCCTTCTAAACAGCGATTAAAAAACTCAGCGGTCCATGCTTGGACCGCTTTTGTGACATTCATCCATGCATAGGACAAGAACCATCCGATTCGTAGCCCTGCCGAGCATCTCAAATTGGAGCTCAAGTAGACTAAAATGTGAGATGCTGACATTTGATAGGCTGTAATAGATCCCAATTCTGAGTAATCTCGGCCATCCATCTAGTGCAGGCACATATAAGCCCTCAATTAACAGAGTTCGGGTAATGACTTACAAAAACTGTTGCAACCATTTGTTAATTTCCGTAAAAGAGCAATTCATAAATGCGTATCGTGTGGTCTTTTAACTCTTGTTATGCCAGGCATCTTGCTATATAGCCCGTTGTAAATATGATGGCATGTCCATGTTTCCTTCACATTTAGGCACGGTAGCATTCTCGTCGTCAAACCTTGGGCGGCTAGCATCTGAAACCAAAACCGGCTTTTTCCTTTGAGGGAAAGTGCGTGGTGGCCTATCGTTTCGTTCATCCACACATCGATACCATTACCAGTGTTATCTTGCCAACACGAGTGCAAATACCCCATTAGCATTCGACCACTCATAAAAGTAACCGCGCAGCATTCCTTTATCCATTCTGTCATTCATTATCCTGGAGAAACAAACTTCTTCAGTTGGATCAGATAGATTGAATACAACAACAACAATAGCCAAAAATGAACAGCAGTTGTTATTCTTGTCTATTACTAGTACTAGTCTTGTTGTTGGCACTCGCCACATCCACACAAGCATCGTTACTGAGATGGTTTGGCGGCAACACCGCTTCGGAAGAGCCAGAGCAACACCACCGATCGGGACGAAGTGTCCGAAGGAGTCGCAGCAGCAAACAGCTCTTTACGAATCCCCGCAATCACTTGGTCTCCAATATCAATGTGAACGAACCAATAGAGAACATGGCCTGTGAAATTCACGAACTGCTGCAACAAACATTGACAGCATCCAGCAGCAGCAGTGCATCCAGGAACAAGGTATCACTGACAGACGACCTCAGTGGTGTGCAACTGCAACGTGCCGTTGACGAAGACGCTTGCACACTCTCCGGCAAGGTTCGATTTTCCACCCACCGCGTCAAGGGATTACGGAGTATCGGTTCCCACAGTATGGAACTGATACCTGGCAGTGAAGACTATGAAGAAATTCTCGACAGTCGAGGATATACCACTGGGTACAAGTGGAATGGCGTGTGGAAAGTGACTGCCACAGTGGAGGCGTTCAAAGTGGATGTGACATCGCAAGTCGATGTCGACGCCTGTGGCGAGCCTTTGGACTTTACCGCCTTTGGGGGCATTGATGTCAATGGCACCAGCATTACCGCCACGGTACGAGTGGATGGCGAACTCTCCAAGGACCTGAGTCGAGGAGATTTGCTCATTGAATCGGCAGAGATTCTCTCGCAAGATGTCAACTTTGAATCCATTTCCCACACGGGTGGACTGTCCAACCTCCTTCCTCTCAACTACGACAGTGAATTCCATTCCTTGGTCGAATACCTCGTCACACGCAAACTGGAGCATCCTGTCATTACTGCATCCGCCCAAAGATGAACCAAGCAACGGCTGGATCCAAATGATGAACTCACCTCCAAAGTCAACCGCGGGAAACGCGCCAGAGAGGCTATGTGTCTCTGCATGCAAAAAGGCGAAAGGCCGAGCTTGGAGCCTGCCTTTTGCTGCTGCTGCTACTGTTAAAGAGGCGGCACACAACACATGGCCTTGCCAGCTACAAGAGCAAACAAACAGACACAGCCGAGGTTCCCAGCTTGCTGCGACCTCTTGCAAGGCGTGTTTGGTCTTACAGCGGAGCGGCTACCGTCCTCCCCAAACGATTCCCAAACCAACACCTCCACAGCTTTTTCTTCCGAACCTTCCCCTCCAAACAATTTTTTAGATAAAGTATTAAAGAATGCTTTAAAGAAGAAAACACACACCAGACAAACTAGCTACAACTGTACTAGCTAGACACTACTTGAAACACATCTTTAGCAGCGAAGCAACAACAGCGACAACAACACTGTCATGAAACACCAGGAAGTCGATGCCAGCACCATCGGATACCACAGAGTTCGAGGGGGTATTCAAGGATGCATGGATACCCCACAAAGGATCCAAGCAGCCAAGCACAAACGGAGGCAAGGGGCTTGAACGATTAAAGATTTCTTTAGCTCTGCGTAACAGGACTGCTGCTGGTTCCTACAGGACTGCTGCTGGTTCCTACAGGATGCTACAGATAGATACTACTAGTACTAGATAGATACAAGTAAGCAATTATTTAGCAGATACCAGCAATCTTTTAGTCACTGCCACCTCCTAAAGCGTCACCAGGCTGCAACCCCAACAAACTGGCCATTCCCAGTTCAGGGCGAACGCTTGTAGTGTTCAAGGGTTCAAGTGTTCAGGACAAGCAATAGCGGGTCGCCGTGCTCTGCGCCCCACTGTGCATCTCATTCACAGCCAAAGCAGAAGATGCTTTCGTTCATTGACGTTTTTGATGCTAAACAACTACTCCGAAGTAGGATCCTGAACCATTCAAGCTGATGCATTCCGGCCCAACTCTCTATCTAGGTTCAGATGGTGGGGAAAAGCGCGAATGGTCAGGAGTTTGTCCAGGTCCCAGGTCAGCAACCTGCAAAGATTGGGCTCATCATTATTTCGTAGTACAGCTGTAGCGCTTCGGGCTCGGCAATCAAGACTTGGCAAACCTCTTGAGCTTGTATTGGTCGCATGCATCCGAAATCTGGTCGTGGTGTTAGATGCTGTCCGAAACGGCGAAAAACGGCATCCTTGCTGGTTATGGGAAACTTAGGCGACCGTGCTCCCTTGGAATTCGCTAACGTGGATGCTGTCCTCAGACGTGGTTGGCGTAAGAAGAGGCTTGTGCTTTTATGCACAGCTGATTAATCATTGAGCAGGTGTGCGTCCGAAGCTATCCCTTCTTCGGGCCAGTGTCGTTCCAAGGGTTGACAAGGAGGAGAAGTATGGTATGTTGGTCCTGGAGTGGCTGGGACATGGTCGGGAGGATGTGGGGCTTGAGTGGATCTGGTAGTACTGGTACCGGTAGGGCTTGGTGTACGCTGCCTGACATCCGGCCTAGTTTTAGGCCAGTCGGTGGACTGTCAAAAATATTGGGATTAGTCCTGGAGGAGTGGGCCAGGTGTTTGCAGCCACAGCAGACCTCAAGAAGGTCTGCTGTACACCTGTACGTCCTGGTGTTGCGGCAGGTGTTCTTCCTGGCTCCAGGAGTTGGCTGGAAGTACTGCATGGTCATGGTAAAAGCAGTCATAGCAACTGTCGTAGCGGTAGACCTGCATCCAGGGAAGGATACTATCGGAGTTGGCTACTTACACACACGTATGGCATACCGGTAGCCCCCCCATTTGCAATTGCCACCGTAGCTACCGGTAGCTAGTTGGAATAGACGCCAAATTTTATGATTGCGTGACCGCTTTGCCCTCTTGCTGCCAGGGCTGCTACCAATGCGTTCCGATTTGAAAAAATGTATTTTGAACAAGTTTTGTTCAAAAGAAGCCAAATGATTGCATTGTTTGTTTAATTTTCCGATTCTCTTTTTTGTTGTAGACGACACGAGAGAGCTCTTGAGCTTTCACTTCTTTCGTTGAAGTACTATTATTCCCCTACTCTCGTCATTGATGCTGTATTCCCCAAGATGGTAAAGGCAATGAGAGCTGCATTGCTTTTTGGTTTTGTTGCTCTAGTCGATTGTTGTGCTGGTCAGACCCTTCCTTCGGAGGTGCGAACCAGCAATGCCTGTGAAGGAGAGTTTGTTTTGCCAAGGCAAGTGCTCGATCGCGGTCTGGATCTCGTAAGACTAATTGAAGTAACTCGGGCCGACAGCCCCATAATGGAGCCCAACCCAGGCTTCGAAAGTTTTCAAGTCTTTGAAGACATCAACGATTGTGCCGTCGTAGCCAGAAAGGGGGACACTTGCATGGCAGTCTTTCAAGCCACAAACTTTGACAACCCCCTAGACGTGATGCAGCTTTTGGATTACAATCTGGATACAGTCGGCAGCTGCACTTTTCGGGCTGGCATTGTCAGTGCGTACAGGTCCTCCTACTATGAAGGTTTCGTCCGAGAAGTGGATCGGTGCATGTCCATGACCAGGAACATGCATGCAAAGCTAATTCTCGGAGGACACAGCCAGGTAACACATGGTCATGAATCAAACGAAATTCTTTCGGACGGATCGATGGCTCTCACACAGACCCTCTCGTGTGGCGTACTGCTGGCTATAGGGCGGAGCGATTGCCGTTGTCGCATCAGCCGATCTGAAGCGCCACAACCCCACAGTCGTGACATTTGGATCCATCCGAGCGTTGCACGAAGATTGCCCAGATGTCGTCCCTGAGAACCATTATCGCTTCGCCAATGCCTTACATTCTACCTATGACTACTGGCCCATGGTCATGAACAAGAACGGAGATCACTTTGGTCATGCCGTTTATCTCGATCCGATGTCCTCGAACCTGGCGACGTACACTGGTTTGAACGACGATACCAACCGAGAGCCGACAGACATGCTGGAAAATCACGATCCTGACATCTACTACGTGGCCCTGTCCCAGCTGATTCATGCTGCTCCTCAGTCGATGCAGTGTGCCAGTGGTGATGGTGCAGCTGTTATCGGGTTGAGAATGTTGGGTTGGGAAGATGGGCACTACTGCATTGGAGCAGATGAGTGCAAAGGTTCGTTTTGCACCGACAACCACTGCGCAAGCACAAGACTCTAGTTTGCTTGTTGTAGACGAAATGAGATAGATACGTTTTCGCTAGCCGGCAGCTAGCTAGCTAGATCTAGTTGGCAGTGATGGCTGTGTTTGCTTCTTACGCGGACCAATCTTTCTTGGATTTTTGGAACCACCACTTGCTTCCCTTATCAATATGTTTCCCGGCCACGAATCCATTCTTTTCCTTAGACTTGTCGCACTCCTTGGCACCTTCCACTTTAGCTTCAGGCGAGAAACCCAACTGTAACCAATGCAAAGCAATGGAATATTAGCTCATTTCTTAGGTGCTTGGGCGGGCAATTCATAGCACAAGCAATACCATCAACACCAAACCAAAATAGGCTGGCTTGATGGTTGGTGTTCTCATGCCCAACTTACATTGTCCAAGTTTTCGGTGGCCATCAGCTGCTTGTCCATCCTACATTGCAGATAGTCTTTGGAGAATTCCTTGCATTTGTGATGAACATCCTGGGATTCTTTTAGACAGTTTAAATATTTCTACATGATATCAGCGTGGATTATTACAAGACACAAAGGTAAGAATCAGAAAAAGTTAGAGAAGTCCACCAGACCGACTAGCCAGCCAGAAAACAAGATGCGGGATGATACCAGCGCGTGAGGAGCAAGCAAACGTACCTGGACAAGTGGTTTACATTCAGCATAGTGGTCCAGCGGGAATATCCCTCGTTGTGGCGGTCGGACAACCTGCTTGCCACTGCTAAAGCTCATGGACGCCATCTTTGGCTGTGTTGAATGTGGGTGGTAACTGAAACAGACTGGAAAAGATACTGTTGGATATCCTCTTCCGGGTACAGTACGGTATGATGAAGGGTGCTTTGCACTGGGAGGCTGCTCGACTCGGCTTTGCTCAACCTGGTTGACAAAGCAAGCAAGACCACTGCGTCTGGCTATTCAGTCATTCAGTTGCCCAACAAGTAACAACAGCTCTTTTTGGACGGGTTGGGGTTCCGTCGTTCTGTCGCAAGGTCTTGCTTCCGTGCCGCGATAGTAAGAACTGCTGCTGTTTAGCTGCTTCCTGGCTGCTTCCCCTGTCCAACAGCGGCGCAGTGGCGCAGTGGCAGTCCTGACTGGTTGAGAACAGATCTTGGCAAGAGTCACTTTTGAGAGCTCTTCTCAATTCCCAGCCAAATTGTGATTTAACGATACCTTTCCCACAGCATCCAGAGATTTATGTTTCTCAAGGCCCTCAAAACCACCAAGCACCAAGCTACAAAGCTCCTTTCATTCACAAAGCCAAGAAAAGCGAGAAAAACAACGGCAACTCATCAATCGATTACAGTACCACCAAAGCTACACTTGTATATAGTTAGCACTAGCATTGTTCCCCCGGACCAGGAGCTTGAGCATCTCTGAGTCAAGCCCAGCCCTGTCTAACTCTTCCGCTTAGCTTCTCAGTGTATGTACAGCAATGGCATTGTTACCGAAAAAGGACTAGCTAGCAGAGACACAACCATTAGTTTTGTTCATTTTAAATTTCAGAACATCATCAAGAGACAAGAAAACCATGGGCTGTGCCTCATCCAAAGCAGCCATCCCGCAGCAAACAGTGCCGGTGGAACACACAGAATGCACTGCTCCCGCTGAAGATGTCGATGTAGAAAATCAACAGCAGCCACTCCTCTCCACCACCAAGGGAGCAGCTACCCCAGCCAAACGACTGGGGTCATCATCGCCAGAAGCCCTGAAAGAACAACGGCCCAAGAGCAGATTGCCTCCCAACAAGAGCCGCATCCCACCCAAGCGAGCACAGAATTCGTTGCCCATGTCGTCAGAAGAAGCCATTAGTATCAGCAGTAGCATGATCAAGCCAACCAAGCTCCACTCGGCACAGAGCCAAGAGTTCACAAAACATCTAGAGACGTCTCTGAGAGCCAGGGGGCTGAAACAAAGAGTGGCCAAGGATGTTGTTTCCGGGGTCCGAAATCGTACCAGACAGCGTGGCCCATCCAAACGACGGGCCGTATTGGACTACAGGCAACGCGTGCAGATTACACTGCAGTCGGACAACGCCAGTGTCCATTCAAAGGAAGTGTCCACGGAAGTCTTCAACTCTAGCCTGAGATCCATAGGTATGGAGAGCACCGGCCATGAGACTGCAGCCGCCACTTCAACAACCCAGGACCAGACAAACACCGCGCCTAACGAAAGCACGCCTCGAAGAAGAAGTCGCAGCAAAACAGGGAACTCGTCCTCAAGATCATCGTCCAAGCAAAGACAGTCTCGCACATCTTCTTCTCATCACCAGTCACCAGCCGAGAAGACTAGGATACCACCAAACAGCTCTCGTAGTTCCAAACAACGACCCACAGAACTACCAAAGATCGATGTCGAAAGTGCCGAGCCCCGACCGAAACGTAGCGGAAGCGTCCAGCGTCGCAAGCAATCCAAAAGAGGAAGCTCGTCCAAGTCGCCAAGCAGATCTCAGAGAAACAAGGTAGATCGCATTCCCGACAATCAGGGTGCGTCAGCCGATGTGTCATCCAATGAAGAGGGGTCTCAACACACGGAAACACCCAACAACGACAAGCTGGATGATACGGAATTGGATGTTTCGGTCGTATCTACTGCTAGTAGTTCACAACATGTCCGCCGTCATCAGCGCAAACAATCCAGAAAGGGAAGCTCCAAGTCGCCAAGCACAACAAGAAGGACCAAAACTGTGGATACAAGCGTCAACAAGAAGGAGGGGCTGCCCGTTGGGATGTCATTGGCCAAAGAGTCTCAACATACTGCAGTACCCAAGCTGGGAGCTAGTGAACTACTAGACGCATCCACGTCCACGAACGATACTGCACATACAAGCATCAGGGAGGGTTCTACGAGTGGTAGTCCAAACCAAAGACGGCGTAGAACTACTCTGGTGACAAACCAGCGACCCAGAGAGAGACATGATAGGATGCAGGACGAGAAGATAGTTCTCTCCAAATATCTTGCTTCGTCGATCAAAACCCCCGACCAGAAAGATTCGATTGCTCCATCAACTTCGACCAAGAGTCGAAGACACCAACAAACAAGGAGAAAGAAGACACAACCTATAATGCCTGAAAACAACCCCAGGATATCCCTGGGCTCAAAGCACGGACAAGGTACCGATACAAGCCCACAGGATGGACTTGATGAAGCCATGCCGTTGTCGTCGTCGCAAGCCACTGACACGCTCGTAGATATCAAGACTACTTCATCCAGAGATAGCAATGGTCCATTCAACGCCTCGGCAACCTTGAAACCCGCGGATGAGAAATCCTGTAATCCTTCGATCGAGGGGCCTTCACAGCATTCGCTGGGGCTTCCGTCGCAGCATTCACTGGGCAGCTACTTACCAGATGTGATGAAGCGAGATAGTGTCAATTCGACTGTGGGATTTGGCCCAACCGACGGTGACGCTGCCGACCAAAGCACGCGGACCGCTCGCCGATCTGTCCTTGCCAACCTCGTGAGCAGGATGAACCCTAGCAAGAAGAATCCTCCTGGATTCGAAGGTGGCATCGCCCTAGCAGATTCAGAACAGGTTGATTTGGTGGACAATCCTCGCGAGGCCCCCCACCCCCAAGCCATGTTGACTGCCTTCAACCAAATCATTACAAAGCCCCTACTACGAAAGGTCCCAAGCAACAAAACATGCAATGAGGAGGAAGATGATGAACCACACCTCAAAGTTGATGCTTTGTCCGGACATGAAGGCGCCGACAGGGACTCATTAATGGACAGTCAATCATCGATAGACCCCATCGTATTCAAGTTTGATGCTGCTGATCCATCCATTGCACAGTTCGACCCGCGGAAGGCATCGGAAAACCAAAATACGCACAACTCATTGTCTACCATTGATCGAATCCACCAACGGCAAACTCTTCGTGATAGGCGAACGGATGTCTCGCGCCCTCACAGAAGGGATGGTGGACTAACAGAGAGTCTCCACAGCTCCTGCTCACAAGTTGATGCCTTAAAAGCTGCACAACTTTCAGCAGAGCGTCGTTCGAAGGATGCCGGCAAAGAAGGACACAGACGAAAGTCATCCCGGACAAGAAAGTCCACGAGGAGTGCCGATTCATCTGCAATGAAAGACGGATCGATGAAAGATATATCCTCGGCGACGACCTCCTCCAATAGATCGAGGGACCGTCGCCGTCGACACACCCATATGCCTTCTTCCCCTGGCAAAAGTCCGCCCACATCCCCTTCTGCAAACAACCTTCGACATCACGAACTCACCAACTGCACGGCACGAAGCAATGAAAAAGAGAAGAACGGCGCCTGCCCTCAAACAGGTGGCACTTGATGATCACAGCGATAATCGCATAGAATAAAACCTGTACTACTACTGAATAAAAACCTGAACTACTACTAAGAAATGTATCTAGATTGGTAAGCCTAATTTTAGAATGTACCGGTAGATTGTTAATCTCTTGTAGCAACAGTTGACCCCAAGATCAAGCTAAGTTGGCATCGAGCCAGACCACCAATCAGAGTAGCCGCGAACTGGTGGTCACGGGCTGGCACGTCCTCCAAAAGCCTATTATTGTGTGATGGATAGAATCTTCGGAGTGATGAGTCAAGAGGGTAGTCTACCTTATCATCCTCACAAAAGTTCGGGCTTGAAAATATCCAGAAGTGAAACGTGCACCACTTGACTCCCACCACGTCTGAACCGGGACAGCGTCAACCCGATCCAACACCGTGACTTCTCTCGCTGCACCGCCTCTTGTTGCTAGACGAAAAGCCCTCAATACGCAGCAACAGCAACAACAAGGATGTGGTAGCTCAGCGACAGAGAAGCTGTTTGCAGTTCAACAGGTCGGTGGTTCAATCTCGCCTCGTGCTTTCTCTGGTATGGTAGCTCAATTTGGCAGAGCATCATACTTTCAATCTGACCGTGCCTTTTCGAGTCCGGCCCTTATCATTCCCACCAATCATAAAAGTACCACAGTTGGTACAGTTGTACTTTGGCCTTGGTTGGCTGATCAATGTGACACTGTGGCCAACTGGTCTAGTACAGTTGTACTTTGGCCTTGGTTGGCTGATCAATGTGACACTGTGGCCAACTGGTCTAGTACAGTTGTACTTTGGCCTTGGTTGGCTGATCAATGTGACACTGTGGCCAACTGGTCTAATGCGCAATGCGCAATGTTCAAGGCATTGTTATTCAGGGGTTTGATCTCTTAGTTGCCTTACACCCATATATTCCAACGGACAGGATATCTGCAGCCTGGCTTTCAACCATAAGGTCTGAGTTCAACTCCCAGTATGGGTTCTCTTGCGTGTTCGAGAGCCTCGCCTCTTCCTTGGCTTCGTACATGTAGCTCAGCTATTTTGGAAGAAACTGGGATTCCCGACCCCTACCTGCAGCGTCTCGGTGCTGGCCAGTATACAGTTCCGCACTCTTCCCAGCTCTGTGGTCACAAATCGCAATGGGTACGGGTTCTAGCAAAAATGGCTTTATGTGAGGATGTTTATCAAGTCTGGCTGGCTAGTCCTTTGTTTCTACACGTATGCATTGACTGAAAGCCCACGACATTAACGATCAAACGCCTGCTTAAGATTTCCGAGCACTCCAGAAGATATCGCACTTCGCCAACTCAGCAAGGACCCACTTGTCCTCTTCAGAGTGTTGGCTTGGATCCTTTCTTGCCATCCTAGATCGTTTCCCCCTCAAGTCCCGGCGGTACTCTTCCAGCTCTGCCAAAGACATCTGTTTCATGGGCGTAGAGCCACCGATGGCACTTTCAGATGTGTTCTTAAAGTTCTCCTCTCCTTCCTAAACTACTCGTCGATGATACGATTGACGGTTCTACGGGCTTTGTTTTTGTTCTCGGTCGTGCTCGTGAGATCCAGTTTCAACCATTTAGTCACCCCTTTGATTTGCACCTTTGAGAACACACGAGTGGACGTGCCCTCTCGAATGAACGACCTATCTTTGATGAAGGGCAACACTTCTCAATCTCAGCAACAAACAAGTCTGTGGATTCCTCTCCCATTAGAAGTGGCGTTGAATCAAGCATATCCAAGTAAAACGGTTTGGTTTGATCATGGCGGCGAATGGCGTGGTAGTTGCCGAAGCTCTTGAGCCCAAAAATGTATTTGCTTGTCTGAAGCCTGTTCAGGAGGTCCTTCACAGTCTTGACCTCAAAGTGAGATCCGCACATCGTGCAGACCATTTTATTCCATGGGATGGACTCAATTCTTCCCATATTCCAGCGCAACGTGCTTTGGCCACTACAGCGGTGGCAAGGTGCCCTGTTGCAAGCTTGAGAGATGGCCATTGCTCGGAGGACCATTGCAGCGCAACTTTCTGGATCTTGGTGCTGCGCTTTAATCACGTCTTCCGTCGGAGCACTCTCGTCGTAAAAGCGATGAAAGGGATTCAGTAGATCACTTCCCTGGATAGATTTGAACTTTGGTTTGAGTTGATACCTCTGGGAAGTTGCATCCCAATAGATGGGAGGTTCTGTTTGTAGATTTGGATGTTTCTCAGTCAAAAAATCTCCGATATGCGTCATGGACATTCGGCCATGTGCCTGGCTGTCAATGTCTTTCTCGCTAATGGCGTGGATGGCCTCCTCAAGATTGTCGGGGGGGGCACAGCCAATTCGGGTGGAGTGTAATCGAATAGAATGCTGTAGGGACCACTTCCGTCAACACAATCGTTGATCTGCTTCAAAACTTTTCCACAGAAGCCTGAGTAGATTTCGACTCCCCATGCTTCCATGGATCTCTTTGCAACCAGTACTTCCTCGCAATCGCGGCCTTTTCGAATTATCTTTGTGCGATTCCTCTCCGCCCATTTCAGACTTGATTCCAAGCCACCATTCTTCTAGGCTTTGGCGAACGGCGGAGCCCCTGCCTTTCCTAGAATGATGATCTCAGGACATGCTTGGTGATGCATCTGACTTGAAGAGATGAATTATGCGCAACATCTAAGTCGCTCGGTGGTGCTCGGTGAGGTGTGCTCCACGGGGTATCTTTGCCCTGGCCAAGACGACGGAGGTGTCGGTCACGTACCGTGCCGTACTGGCTAGCTAGGTGTGTGGAAGTTGTAAGTCGCGCAACTTTCGTGACTTTGGATCGCGAATTCGTTGCGACTTTGCGCTTTTGTCACGTCTTTCCCGACTTTCAGGATCTGCCTTCTCGAGAACCGAGCTGTCTTCCTGGAAGGGAAGTGAAATTTTGACACCTCTAAAGGTGCATAGGTATGTCACAGAGGAATTCTTCCCCAATGCAGCAATTGGCAAGCAGTAAACCTTCAACTTTTGCTGTGCGAAGCAGGTACGGCACAATGATAACGGTATCTACTCTATCTACTGGACTGCGTGGGCTCCTTAGAGAAAGCACTATCAAGGCATTGCTAAAAAAACAATAGGGCTATGAAGTGCAGGCAGCACGGATGGTTGGCTTGAATCCACACGGCAGCAATGCAGGGCTATGGTCAATAGAAAGGTGCTAGCCAAGGATACGGCTTCATTTCTTTCCTTTCAAAATGCAATATCTATTCTCTATGTATTATGGTATAACCCTAAGTTGTGCAATTATGAGACCCCCTTCTTGTAATTCGGTGAACCTCGATTGGCCACTGCGCGGTCTAGCCTGCTGTTGTCCTCGCTCCCTTCTTCAGTGTTCTGCTCTTCTATGCTGCAAAGAAATCACTTTCGCCTCTTGGAAATGAAGAGTCCTTCTCCCTGATCTTCTGCAAGTCTCTGTGTTGTTGGCTTGGTTCCCAGAGCTCGACGACTAGGTGCCAATGGATCTCCTTGGCCCATGATGAGCTCTCCATAGGTAGCTCTTGGCAGAGTCTTCTTGTGACTAGTGCGACGATTCTTATACACAAAATTCTTGCTGCTGTGCTTCTCGGTCTCCTTGGCTGATCCTCCCAGATTCATCATACTGAAGCCCATTGATACGGACTTCAACATCGAACTTCGTGAGGGCGATGATGAGGGGGACGACGATGGCATTGATGATCTTGGCATGGTTATTATTGGTATGTAGTTTGGTGGCTTGGTTTTGCGGTGTTGAGACCAGAGGGAGATAATGCTGATGATACTTTTTCTCGGGGAAGTGAGATTATGTGGAGTTGGAGTTGTCGCTCATCTCCCTTGTGGCGCTAAACCCACTGAATGCCGGTTAATATATTGAGTTCTTACGTCTTGTGACCTTTTACTCGTCTGTTAGTGACCGGTATTGGCCGTATTGGGACATTGGGACTTCCTCTCCGAATGAACAGCTATGAACAGTCCAGCTACAGTCCCATCGATAACAGAAACCCCACAAAAAGTTCGATGAGAGAAGCAGGATCATAAATCATTAGATCTAATGTAACTTGATCGGAAAGATCCAGTTGCCGTGGACTTATTGTTTGGAATCCAATCTTGTTGAGCTGACACACCAAGGTTCTCACCCAGGGTCAACTCGTCCGAATGGGAACAATAGGGGGGTGGAGAAATCCAATGCAACCCATTCCAAGCAAGGTGCGGTATACCGTGATGAATACAGTGGTAAACAGTGGTAAAGACATTTGTAAGACAGTGGTAGGCACTGGTGCAAGTGACCACTGTTTCGCGAAACAGTGGTTGGTAGTGGTTAGCAGTGGCTCCATGACTGAAAGCCCTGGTGAGCATGGGATGGCATTGATTTTCTCCACCCCCCAGTATCCTGTACCGGTACCGGAGGGTTTTGATGGATGGCTGGGTGGATGCAGCTGGATCCCTGCGAACAACGGTATTGATTTGGCAACCATCAACCAGGAGCACAGATGGGTTAGGCTTGGGGACAGAAACTCCATATGTGATCACATGAAGCAAGTTGCGTATTATTACGTGGACACCACCATTCAACATTCGTATCATGAGCTGTACCGGTACTCTAGTAGCTAACTTCTCGTAGCTTCCTGAGCCGAAAGAGCTGCTGAAAGTCGGTTCTGAGTTCTGAGTGCACTGAGGGCTTCTCATCCTCTCAGTGAGCATAACATTGTTGATTGTTGTGAGCATCGGACTTTACATACATTTTCCAAGACGTAAATCTACCAACACCTGTTGCTGCAGCCCCTATTAGGGAGATGTTGCTACAGGAGGGCCTCGAGCTTATCGACCAATTGCCGCTGTAAGTTCAATGCACAACATGCACGTGCTATCTTCTACAGCAAGAGCAGTGCCTTCGCTGGTTCTTGGTTCTTGGAGATTGGAGAGGATCTTGGTTGCTGGGCTCGGAGCCTGCGGGAGCTCCTGCGGGTTCGATTCGTTTGATCATTCATTCCTACCGAACCGTTCCAGCCTCAAAAGCTGGTGGCTGCAGCGGCTACCCACTGAGCAGAGTCGGTAGAGAGGAGCAACCGCAGTATCGCTGCTTTTTCAGTGGGTGATCAAACTAGGTTTGGTGTTGGTGGGGTGGAGTCTGTTGTCAAACCAGGGCACTTGGTACCTAGCTAGCCAAGCTACTAGCCAGTTTCATGTGGGTTCCTTATCACTGCTCTCTTCTTCCCGGTGTGGCATTGTCAGCAAACATCAATTAGCCAGTTTCATGTGGGTTCCTTATCACTTTTCTCTTCTTCCCGGTGTGGCATTGTCAGCAAACATCAAATTTGAAGACTGTGAACTTGGACGCGGAAGCGTGGTTGAAATGCAGATGTAAACAGGGTTGGGGTTTATCGAGTCGTGCGACAAGGTTTTGGATCTTCGTCGAGCACCCTTCTCACCTCCCGAAAGGCTGCAACAAAGGAGGGACGGCAGGTTTGGATCTTGGCTCCAATGAATTCCAAAGCTGGATGTATCCTCTTTGCCTCACTGTTTTGGTTTAAAGCTTGCGTCTGTGGAGCTTCTCTTGTCGACGTTTGGAGACCAAAACCCTCCGCTGGTCCTGTTCGTACAGCACCTTGCCGTCCAGGCCCATCTCGATATTTGTTGACCATGGTGAAAGATACCCCCATGGCCAACGGAGAAGACGATTTCAAGAAGGCTCAAGCCGCCAAGCATTACCTTGACAATGTTGCTCGCTTTACAGTCTTGTACGCAAAGGATTTGATCGCGTTGCTTTCTCCTCAAATTGCCTCAGCCAAAACGATTCTTGACGTTGGCTGTGGTCCCGGTACCTTTGGATTGGCCTATCTGGAAGCCTATCCACAGGGCATTCCAGGCCAGACACTGATATTGAGTGATTTATCTCCTGGAATGGTGAATCAAGCCGAGCAAGTCATGAAGGACCGTATCCCTCCCAATTTTCAAACAGCACTGGAATTCAAGGTAGAAGATGGGAGCAAGTTGGGAGGAATTGGGGACGACTCGGTGGATGTTGTCGTGAGTGTCTTTGGCATCTTTATCATTCCGGACTATCTTGAAACATTGCAAACGATCCGTCGAGTTTTGAGAAGCGACAACCCAAACGCAGTCTTTGGCAACGTCTGTTGGACGATGACAGAGCATCGTCACGAACTAGTCGAGGAAGGATTCGGGCCCAGCTTTCACGAGTTGATTGAACAGTCTCTTCAAGAATTAACCAGCCTTAGTAGTAGTGACAAAAACGAAGAGCCACCATGGAAACGATGGTTTGAGCCCGCTCGTGGTAAAGAAATGTTGGTGGCCGATGCTGGTTACGATGCGTCAAGCTTTCAAGTTCACCGATGCATGCATTCTGTGGTATGGCCCAAGGCTGGTGCCTTGTGGGAGATGATCGCCACCAATCCAATGTCCAAAATGCACCAAGCTTCGCCAGAAAAGATTGAGTCCGCCAAAACGAAATTGTTCAAGGCTTTGGATAGGGAAGAAGGACAAAACGAAAACCTCCCTGTGGTAGTCTCCACATCAGCCAATCTGTTCCTTGCCAAACCGTGGCGACCATAACTAGTAAATGTACCGGTACCGCTAGTGCTTTGGAAACCATTAAAACTGCGAGAGCAGCGAGGGAATGAATCATTCGGAATCATGTCGAGGCTGATTCCTGTGCCAACAACCACTGATCCCGATGCTGTACAACATATTCTTCAAACTGGCTCAATGCTGTTGGAAACTTGGATTCACCGTAGCCCACTCGAAAGTAGTCTACTTGTTCTGTCACATTCTCATCTCCCGAAAAACAGTAGGCTGGTTTGATTCCAATTCCATGCTCGGCCAGTTGTGCGCCTAATTCATCCGACATCAACTTGCCTGCTTTGAGTTTGATAAAGGCAATGGCTCCGGCATTCGGTGGTACCCAATGAAAAAGATCCTTGTGACGGTCCATGAATTCACGTAGCAGTTGGACATTGTGTCGAATGATTTGCAGATTCTTGCCCAATATAAAATCACTAGCTCGGAGCACCATAATGGCTTGCAGTTCACTGGCGCGAGAGGGACACGCCGTTCCAAAATACTGCACCTGAGTCATGCGCTCTTTCAGGTCCAAATCTTGACAGGCAATCCAACCAATGGAGACCCCACAAGCTCCCCATGGTTTGGACATGGTGACACAAGACATGCCCTTTTGGTAGGCATCACACATGGCTGCAAGTCGATCCTTTTCAGGATTATGTTCGAGCAAACGATAGACTTCATCGCAGAAAATGATAATGTTGTGCTTTGCTGCCAAGTCAATCAATTCTTGCTGCGTTTGTCGTGCCATGAGTGTCCCAGCTGGGTTATATGGTTCATTGATGACAATGTATTTTGTGTTTTCTTGAATGGCTGCTTCTACTTGTTTCACGTCAATGGCCCACCCATTGGCAGCCGACAATTGGATTTGTGTCACTTGTGCTCCAGCATGAACAGGTCCCACCAATAGACTCTGATAGCCAGGAGTAAAGACAATGGCGTGACTGTTGTCATGGTCGCAGACGGCAAAGGCTGCCGTTTGTACTGCCACTTGACCACCTGTAAATACCAAAATATGATTGGCCGTAATGGACGGTCCATACAGCTGTGCAATTTCTTGGCGCAAATCCAGGGATCCACCATTGGGAGTGTACGTCAAATCATGCTTCTGATAAGCGTCCAAGAGATCTTGATCGCCACGTTCCTTGGCGTATTGGATCAGTTCTTCCGAAGTCAGCGGTTGTGCAAACGAGTTGGACAAATTGTACGGAAGACTTCCACCCTTTGTCACACGCTTGTGCTTCGCGGACCAAGGCTTGCTGATTCTCACCATGGTTACAGTTTCTGTAATATTCGATGTGCTGCGGCTGTTTCGAGATGTTTTTGTGTTGTGGCGAGGTACCAGTACTAGCTAGTACTGCACAATGCATGGGGATGGTGGAGGAACATGGCGTCGGAGCAGAGAAAAAGGAAAATGCTGAAAAAAGAAAACGATTAAAAATAAATATTTCTCACAATTCAATTTATGATGATTTCTCACAATTCAATTTCTATATTTTTCAGTTCCACACAATTCAAATAATCGATTTCAGTTTTCTCACAATTTAAAATTTTGGCAATTCCACACAATTGATTTTTTCGATTTTTGATTTCTTACAATTCCAATTATTTATTCGATTTCTCACAATTCATTTTCTTGTGATTCCTCACAATTTCAATTTTCAATTTTTGATTCCTCACAATTCAAATTTTTGCAGGTTCCTCACAATTCAAAGTTTTCCTGATTTCTCACAATTTAAATTTTTGATTTTGGTTTCCAAGATTCCTCACAATTCTAATTTCCAAGATTCCTCACAATTCAATTTTTTCCGATTTCTCACAATTCATAATTTTGAGATTTCTCACAATTTTATTTTTTCCGGATTCCACATAATTCTTTTTTCCTGATTTCTCACAATTTCAATTTTGAGTTTCGATTTCTCACAATTCGAATTCCAATTTTCCCGATTTCTCACAATTCTAATGTTTCTGATTCCTCACAATTCAAATTATTTTAAATTCCTCACAATTCAAATTTTCATGATTTCTCACAATTTCAATTTCAAGCTTTGATTTCTCACAATTCTAATTTTCGATTTTGGTTTCTCACAATTCTAATTTTTAATATCTGTTTTCTCACAATTCCAATTTTTCCTAATTCCTCACAATTACAGATTTTTGCAGATTCCTCACAATTTCAATTTTCGATTTCCAATTCCTCACAATTTCAGTTTTGCCGATTACTCACAATTTCAGTTTTGCTGATTCCTCACAATTTGTTTTTTAAATTTCAATTCCTCACAATTTCAATGTCAACTTTCTTGTCCAACGCGATCCCGAGATCACACGCGACACCGAACTGGCAACACGGAAGGTAGCCGATTCGAAAGACACAGCGAGGAAACGAGTGTCGTTTGCATGTTTGAAGTCTTCTTTCGGAAACCGGTGGCACGCCACTTGTCTATGAGCAATCCCGACGTCGTCATTGCCCGTCTCTACGATTGCTTGCCCGTGGAATGCGCAACGACAGCCAGTTTCAGTGTTTATATTTCGTTCTTTTTCGTTCTTGCTTTAGTTTGATCCATCGACATGAGTTTGATCCATCGACATGAACTGCTACACCACGTAATACAGAATAGAATAAGCATTATGAATACTCCCAAATCATCCATATCATCGCCGCGAGCGCCTCTTGCTTTCGTTTTGTCGTTTTTCTTTGGGCCTGTCGCTTCACCTTCATTTCTTTGATTTTTTGCTTTGCCTCCTCTCGTCCAATGCCCTCTACCTTTTGTTGTCGCGTTGAGTTTATTTGGTTGTTTCTTTTCCCGACGCTTTTTCGTCCACTGTTGTTGTTTGTGCGTTTGCCCTTCAATTTTGATTCATTTCGCTTCACTTCTTTTCGGCTTGTTGTTGTTGTTTCCCCAATTGAAATCCCATGGCAAACAGATAAAGTCCCATAATGGGCATGGCCGGACACGTGTCGACCAATGTTTTGAGTCCTTCGTCCAATGGAACCCGATGCAATGTGACGTGTTCGCCATCGTCCAATTCGGGCTTTGGAGTTCCGTGATTGTAGGGATTGTCCAAATCGACTTGGACTAGAACAACGTGGACCGTTTCCGTGGCCAATCCAGGGCTCATACAGACGGCTCTCGAAACATCCGGGACGGCACTGCAGAATTCTCCGACAAATCCAGTTTCCTCTCTCAATTCTCGCAAGGCTGCGGCTTCGACCGTTTCCCCGGCATCGACCAATCCAGCGGGGAATTCCATCGTGTAGCCATTGACAGGAGGACGGAACTGTGTCACCAAGAGTGTTTCCAATTTATTACTGGGATTGGATTTGGATGACAGCAAGGGAATGATGACGACAGCGTCGGCTGTGGAACGCGTATTGCCGGGTGTTGTGTTGGAAACACCATTGCTATTGTCGACCTTGGGTTTGGTGGTTCGTGTGGCAACGTCCCATTGTCGTTGTTTGCCATCTTCGTCGGTGTAATGGTATGTCTCCAAAGCCAACCATTTGGTGGATGCCACGGGGACGACAGAGTCGACACGAGGGACGATCTTGCCGTTTGAGGGGGCGGATCCGTTCTTGGGGGCGCTGGGATGGGCGGCGGCGGTTGTGCCGTTGAGTTTGGGTTGGGCAGTGGGAGTGTTCTTGTTGCCGCTCATGTTGATGTTGCTTGTTGTTTGTCTGTTGATGATTTGTCTGTAGAATGAGTTGTGAAATGGTGTTGCTGTTGGGATTGTTGTGGTCATCAAAAGGAAAATCAGGATCAACAGGGGCGTTTGTCTTGCTTCGGGTGGTTTGGTGATTTTGATGTTGCTCATGCAATTTTTGTGATCAGATGAAAAGGTGAAAATAAGCCACTTGCACGGAGACTGAGGAGAAGTCTTCGCTTTCCAGTTTGCCGGATCGCTACTACTGGTAGCTGGAGCTGTTGCTACGAGTGCACAACAGGCAACAAAGATGAGACTTGTCAAACGAAGAATTGAGGAGTGTGATACATGTAGATTAGAAGATAGAAGACACACTCCACGAGCATCTGGTTCCCTCCCAGTCGGGAGCTGCTGCTGTGCACGTTGACACCGTTTTCTGGAGCAGTTCGAGAACCGTAACACACGTCTGGGCAGTTTTCAGTCACTTTCAGTCGGGAATCTTGGATCACTCACTGAGCCACCCTCCAGGGACGGTACCAGTACCATGTACCATACGACTGTACCGGTACCACTGCACATACTATAGCTAGATGCGGTAGTACCATTACAACCCGCCAGTCTGGGATGATGACACGTATAGATACATTGGCCATAGTCTTTGACGCTATGAACGTTCCCAGACAGAGAAATCAGAAAAGGGGCCTCGTGGCCAACCACAGAAACTCGTTTTTTGCTACAGAGATGCAAAGATTTCTGTTCGTTTTCTGCCGTACCTACATTCAAGTGCAGGAACGTTTGAAGGATCGGATGCCTTGCAGCTTTGGTGCGTGGTATTTGCTTGTCTACTATGAAAGCTTACGGTTCCGGTAGTACTAGTAGCAGCTCGCCTCCTTCAAATAGACTACTTGATGTTTTGAAGATCCTCTTTTTCCGTGACCTGTACTAGAAAAACCTAGGCGCTACGTCCTGAAAAATTGGAGGTGCGTGAATAGCTGGAGGAGCTGCTGGAGGCACCGTACGTAAAGGATTTCTATTTGAGCGAGTTGTGCACAGTTGCAAGTTGCAGTGGTTGTGGTGCTGGTGTGCACAGCCAGTGGCATTCGTGGTGTGCACGCCTATCTTGGCCTACTCCAACCAAACTGGCAGCAAGCCAGGTAGTTGTGATCCGACGTGCACAACCACCACCAACCACAGCGAGCACATCATCCATCTTTCCGACTGAAAATTTCGGTGGAGACATGGCCACTGAAGGAGCGAGCCTGCGGTGATCGTAGATACCGAAACAGTGAGTCTCTATAGCTAGCTAGCCTAGCTAGCTGGCCGGATCTTCTCTCTTTTTTC